TTACAAAAATGATTGGATTAGAGAGAGTACCTTGAACTTGAAGCTCATAATCGATAAAAATAATGTTGAAGATGTGAAAAATGCAGTTTTATTGGCAAAGGAACCTCTCTGTAAAATCGAATCGATGATGATGTCCAGTTTAATAATTCATGTCTATTATTAGCGGGGGGGAAAATCCATGCATTAAAACGATAAATATAAAAGTAAAACAGCCAGGAAAACTTCCGTGAATTTCTCAATCAAACCGTTTTTTTTTTTGGCCTTTTTCGATCTTATTTCGGATTTTATATAGAATGACCTACTGTGTAATTTATTTGTTTGTTTTTGGCCATTACTTATGTTCAATTTAACCTGAAATGGATTTGGCTGGTTTGGGTGCTAAACGGATTGATAAATAGCAAGAACTCATGATTTATTAGACGTCCCCAGATCTAATTTGAATTGAAAGAGAATTTTAATTCTAAATGTAAGAATTCAATCTATTTTATCTTTCAAATTTATAATTTTCTTTTTATACTATCACTATTATAGTACACTTTGAAGGGGATTTCTATTAATGTGGTAGTTTTCAATACAATTATCAAACGAGTATTTAGGTAAAGCAAACACATATTTTTTTAAGTAATAAACTTAACTCCACAAATTAGTTACATAACTGCTATAGTTAAAATTGGAGGGAGTGTATGTTATTTTTTTGGGGCACAGTAACTATGAAGTCAAGTCATTGGGAGAATTAAATTTGCATGGTTGGCTTCCATATTAAAGTGGAGCATATCCTAATTGGCAAAGTTGTGAATAGGGAAGAATAAATGACCCGTCATGAACTGTTAGACCAAGTAATTGGGCTAGCTAATAATATACACTATACAATGATATACAAACTTGTGGGAAGTTGTAAACTCCTTAGAACCATTTCGGGTTTAGCTTAAACAGAAAATTTACAAAAAATTAAAGTGTGCTTTTAATTACCGGCAATACTGAAAACAAGACAGTTTAAACAAACAACTCTTAATTCACATAAATGCTTGGTATTGCATATCTGCAAACTCCATTTTTATCTTGAAATATATTTCGATGCCACATGTATTGTAACAGATCGGAACATATAAGAGACCTTTCTGGCAAACTAAAATGCATAAGGTTGGAGAACCGATACACAGACTAATAATGCAACTGAATCTGAGCCTTTCAACGACAATGAGGTGCCAGATCTGTAACTAATCCATTCAGGAATTTACTTTTCTTGGTTACCCTCAAATCTCAGTTTGTTGCAATCAGTATTTGCTGTGATAGCAATCAGCAAATTGCCCATCTTATGTAGTATTCCTGTCATGAGTCATCATACACAATTAAGTTTGACCGTTAAAAATACTAGGCAACTGCATAATTTAACAGTCAAATTTAACGATGGATAATAGTTAGGATATTTTTGCCACTAACATGAAGGAATAATGATTGGCCTTGGATAAAAAATATCAAGAATCATTCATCCACTTAGCCGCGACGTCCCAAATACAAAATGTAAACTTATTGGAGACTCAACTGAAATATGCGGTGTTTAGGTTCCATGCACTTACTGTCACTACCTTTGATTAATATTTAGTTTGATATTTATTTTCATTCTAAATATAGACTTTAATTAATTTTGTCTCTCATATTTATTCATTTTTCTCAAGATAGTTCTTATAGTAGTTGCACGTGTGGAATGCTTCATGAAATGATGTTTGATTAGTAAGAGTATTTTAGGAAAAATAATACATACTATCTCCGGTCCTTAATATAAGAATTCATTTGACTTTTATTTTGATCTTGATTATAAAAACCAAATCCATCTTGTTTCTCATGTTTATCTATTTTTTTTTCCAAGATATTCCTTGTAATAATAATAATTCTAGCTAATACATTTGATTAACAAAGATATTTTAAGAAAGACAATATATATTTATTACAAATAACTAACATAACTAGTTTTCTTAATCTATTCAAATTAGTCAACTAGCTCTTATATCAAAGACCGGATGTAGTATTTATTACAAATAACCAACTTAATTAATTTTTTTAATCTATTCAAATTAGTTAATTAGTTCTCATATTAAGAAGTGGATGTAGTATTATTTTGGTTAGTAGTTTATAAAACTGCTTTGCAGACGGTGTCAAGAGCTGACTCTTGTCCAAGTTTAGTAAATCAAAATCCATTAAGAATCGTCCTAAGGCTGGAAAGGTAAGATTGAAGAATCTTTTCTTTTGGGTGTGGCTTTGGCCAGTATTTTCTATAAATTATTTAGCGTGAATAGTGTTGTCAATGATCAAGTCATAATTTAATATTTGATCAATATTGTATAAGACTCACTCCAACATTTAAAATTAGTTTAAGAAATCTGTTAAAATTAGGTAAAAATGATAAATACGTAAAAAATAAACATTTTTTTTTAGATATGTCCTTATCTGCAGAGGGGCAAGTGAGAGAGAGAGAAATAGTGAAAAGAAAAGAGAATTTATGGGGGGAAAAGATAACAACAGATAATAGAATTAATTAGGAGTAAAGTTTGTTAAAAAAAAACATTTTAATATTCATACAACCCAAGCTGGATCTTATCAAACCGATTCAAAAATTAAGACCTGAGGGAGTACTAGTCATATTAATTAATTACTTTCCCACAAATAACAAAATAGTATAACTTGTAATCAGAAATTTAAAATTTACGACAATCGCACGTGCCACGTGCATGTCATAAAATACCTCTGCATAGAATATCTCAAGTCAGGCTACATTCTCTAGTGTGTTATTGACCATTTAATAAATATGACCGACTTTTAACGAAATGTAAGTCACACTAATTAGTTACTTCTGGTCTCTTCCTATTTTCCGTATTGCCTTAGGGTATGTTTGGCTCAATGAGAGGAAGGGGAGGGAAGGGATTTTAATGGAGGGAAGGGGAAGGGAGGAGAGTGGAAGAATTTTAATATTATTTTGTTTGGATTTATAAAAAAAGAGAGGAGGGCAGGGGAAAATATTTTAATATGGACAATTTTGCTCTTATTTTATTTAAGATATGGGCATAATGGTCACAACATGACAAAATATAGACATAATAGCCACAACATGACAAAATATGGGCATAATAGTCACAACATGACAAAATATAACCCTTTCCCTCCAAATCCTCCCAATTTTGGAGGGGAGGTTGAGGAGGGGAGGGGAGGGAAAATTTTAAAAAATTTTCCCCCCTCCTAAAATTTGTGTGTTGCCAAACAAGAAGAAATGATTAAAATCCCTCCCCTTCCCTCCCCTCCCACCCAAATCCCTCATACCAAACACACCCTTAATAATTGGACATCACAATCAGTGTCTGTTATATCAAGATCTGCAATTTAACGTAATAACAAATTGAAAATCATTTGCAAATTACAAAGTCAAGCGCACACATTCTTGTTTCAGTGCAAAACTTTCTAAATGCAGAGAGAAAATGAAAGCAAGCATAACAAAGTGAAGAAAGAAATTAATTTGAAAGTAAACAGAAGAATATCCAACTCACGAGACTAAACCGTCTTAATGTCAAACATCAATTTTCTTTTATCTCCAAGAACAGTATGAACACATTTTCCTATTAAGCAGCAGCATCCGCGGTTTTTACTGTCACCTTTTCTTGGCCGAGAATGATGATTAAATACATATGTTATGTCAAACTGCAAAGACGGGAGCACATAATAATATTAGTTAATAGAATATTTTTGGGTATAATATTAGTTAATAGATATCAATGATTGAATATAGGGTTTACATCAGAAAGAAAGATATGTAACTAAAAATCAATTCAAGAATTTAATTTTCTTGGTTACCTTCAAATCTCGGCTTGCTGCAATCAGCACATTGCCCATTGATCAGTACTTGGTTATGAAATCCAGAGGAGATAAAAGCTTTACCGCTTCACCACCATTTACACCTACAAATACAGGTGGCTAAATCATGAAGACTCTTTCCTTAGCCTCTGCTGACTGTTGCAGAAGTTGAACTCTCCTGTAAATAGACAGAAATCTAGCAAAATAGAAGGACTTGTGAAAAATAGTTTCGTCTTTTAATAGAACAAAGTTACATGAAGATAAATCATTTTTCATCCTAAATATAATCATCTTAAGATTTGGTTGGTTATTTCACTTCACCAACATTTTTTTTAAATCACGGTATCTAATGAAACTAATCTATACATACCCAGTTTCCTATTATGTTACGCTTTACTGGAATTCTGCATCAAGAAAAATATCAGCGTATTTGTTTGAGATGATACATACTCATTCTAAGAAGCCAAGAAAGTAAAATCCTACTTTTGGAAACAATTGGATATAAACACATCAATAGAATTAAATATATTGCAAAGTAACACATTTTTATTTAAAAGCATCATCTATATTTGTCTAGGACAGCTATGGTATGACAATGTCAAACTTAATTGATGAACTGTAAAAGGGACATACACACCGATCAAGTAATGCGTTGCTCTGTAGATTCCAAATTCAATTGGGACAGCATAAGTAGCAACTCATCAGCATAATGAGATGTCTCGGACTCAGAATTCAGGGGAATAGATTGAATGATATCTTTGTAAGATTCCTTCAATTTCTTTGTTGAAGGGAGTTGATGTTGCTCATCATCAATATCCCGATGCCTCTTTTTTGGCATCCTTACCTCCACTTTCTTTTGTTGGAGGAAGTTTGTGTACTCTAAGACATATATTGGCCGAACTCCACATTCTTCGATCAAGCAATCACAAATATAATACCCACGTTCACCGATCTCAACATCACCAAACTGAAATTGAAATTCAAGCTCCTCATTATAACCTGTTCCCTCTCTTCGGTATTTGTGTAGTATGCTTTCACAATAAAGGGGATCATACCATAGAAACACATTATCATATGAATTCAATTTTTCCATTGAATAATGCCATCCGTTTGGACCTTGCAAATCGGAGTCATAATTTCCCTGGTCATCAACCAGACAGCATGCACATGATGAGTGACATTGATCTCTTTCTTTTGAGGAGAAGTCAGGTATGACAAAGCAGAAAATGAAACCTATTAAGTTTTCAAAATCTGGAGCAAGCTGAACACCCACTAGGAAATCTACAAACTCTATCATTGAACTTTGGTAAGTAAACCACTCTGGAATAGTACTTCCTTCAAAATTGCCACATTTTCCTTGCTTCAATGAGAATCTAACATATTCGAGCATTTCATGAAATGAATTCTCATCAGCATAATGACAGGACTCTCTTTGGGTCCCCAAGTTTGGCTCCCGTCCCATTTGTTGAATGAAGTCGCGATATTCCGAGGCATATATTGGGCAGACTCCACATGCTTCAATCACTCCACATGCTTCAATCACACAATCAACGGGCTCCCGCTCAAATCTGGCAACAGAGAATTCAAATGATGCCTTTGGCTTGTAATTAGCATTCTGGTTGTCCATTGCTTTATGAAATTTTAGGAATGAGTGAGGTTCACACCACAGGAAAACATGATGTGATCCCGCATTTTCATCTGTCCAAAATATAAACTCTGAGCCATAGCACCGCTTACCATCATAATAAACTTGGCATTTCATGTAAGGCTTGGGGGGATGCTCAGAAAGAATACAGCAAAAAACGAAGCCGATTAGGTTGTTTGTGGTTAAAGGAGACTCAATAGTTATATAGTTGGGAGCCTCTGTTCTCTGATAAGATCCAAACCACTCTGGAACTTTTCTTCCAGGGTAACAGACACCACCTTGTCGTTGACTGTACACTAATCGCTTCAATGAGAAATAAACACTTTCCTTAACATGAGATAAAAAGCGGTTCTCCAATTTCAAGCAATCTACCAGACATAGGGTCTCCAATTGTGGTGCAAAAGGTATTGAAATGGGTACAGTCTCCAATGATATGCAACCACCGGCTTCAACGTTTTTGATGGATGGCGGCAGTTCTGGCAAAGAACGAAGTTTTGTACAATTGGCCAAGTATATTGCTTCTAGATTTGAGAGATACTCGATACTAGCAGGCAAGCTCACTACATTAGTTCCAGTCAAAAGCAGTGTAGACAATGAAGATAAGGACCCGATGCTTTCAGGGAGTTCATACAACTTTTGACAACCACCAAGAATAAGCTTTCGAAGATTTTGGAGATAACTAACTGAGGAACAGAGCGTTGAACCCACCATTATTTCATCTGCCAACGATGGAGATTCAATATGAGAAGTGAATTGTAGCGTCTTTAATGATGTGCAGCCGTAGGCACGTAATTCTTCAATGGATGGAGGAAGCTCCGGTAAAGATTGAAGGTATCTGCAACCGTTTACATCAAGACATTTCAGCCTCGAGAGATGCTTGATATTGTCTGGAAGTTCAGTTAATGTGCATGACCCTGTCAAAGAAAGTGATTTCAGAGATCGCAAAGCATCAAATAAGCTATGGAGCTTTGATTTGTCTATCATTCCCTCAAAACCCCAAATATGAAGCTCCTCAAGAGATCTCATGCAACAAATGTCATTAATTGGAAGATTCTCTAGTTTGAAACCCTTAAGCAAGAGCCTTTGAAGTTTCTCCATAGGCCCAAGTGAAAAGTCTAAGTTCTCGACTCTTGAGTGGGATAAATTCAAAAAAGTTAGTTTGTCTGAAGAGAATAAAAATTCCTTGAGACTACAGCAACCTTCAACATCTAGTTCTGAGATCGATTTTGATTGGCTCCCTGCTTCCAAACTCTCTAGGTTTTTACAATACCTAAGACATATTGACCACAATCTCGGAAGAGATAAAATGGACGAATGAAGACGGCATAAACTTTCACAACCACCAAGATTAACCCGTCTAAGTCTTTCAGCGGTTGACAAATCCGGCAACTCTATCAATTTTGTGGATCCCCAAAGGTCTATATCCCTTAAATTCACCAAGTCCTGCAACAATTAAAAAGAGAAATATTACATAGGAAACAAGAGTCTTAAATTTGAATCAAATTGTAAAAAAGAGAAAAGTTATAAGACTCATATTTGTATGTTATACCTGCTTGCCATCCCATAGTTTTTGAAGGCGGCTACGGGGCATGCGAAGTTCAACTAGCTTCTCAGCACAGAATGACAATGGTAAAGACTTTAAAGGAAAATTGCCCCACTCAAGAGCCCGTAACAAATTGGGAAATGATTCAAGCCCTGAAGGAAGATTCACAACACACGATCTTCTAGGGTCAGATGAATAGAGTTTCAAAAGCCTTAAATTTGTTATCTTTCCAAAGGAATCAGCTCTCAATGTCAATTGTAATTCTTCAATTTTAGACAAATCTAAACTTATGCCTTGAATTGCATCACTTCCCTGAACAACACAAAAGCCCAAAAGAAAATAAATAAATAGCTTTATATTAACAATTTCTTTTCATTCGTTTTCAAATGTTTAATTAGAAAGGTAAATATTTTTCTTACTCGATCATTTTTTAGGACGTTGATGATCTCGTCAGAATTCCATAGTCGACTACGTCCTCCAGGATTCTTACACTCTTTGCGAACAATTTCAAAAGCCATTGATTGAATTAAATCATGCATCCTTATCACACCATCACTAAGACTTATCAACGCCTTATCCACAAGAATTCCCAAACCAATTCTTGCGTTAAAGCCAAAGCTCTCTAGCATTGCTTCCACATATTGTCTAGATCTACCTTTAAAAAAACAAGCAATGTCTAAAAATATCTCCTTCACTTCGTCATCGAGTCCATCATAGCTCAATTTTAACACATCTTGAATATCTTTATTGGCCATCCTTTCTAATTTACTCAAAGCATCTTCCCATTGATCTGCAGGTCTGGAATGTAGAAACGAACCCAAAACGGTTAAGGCCAGTGGGATGCCTTTGGCATAAGCAAGTGCTCTTTTAACTGGTTGTTCGTATTCACTTCCATAACCATCTTTGTGGAAGGCTTTGAGGTTGAAAAGCTCAAGTGAATTGTTGTCGCTCAATGCCTTGGCCTCATGTATTTTATCAACTCTTCCAACAATAAGCACATGCTTATCTCTACTTGTTATGACGATTTTACTACCAGGTCCCAAATGAGGAACTTCACTCTTCAACTCACTCTTCAACTCGTCTAACTGCTTTGTCTTGCTAACATCATCAAGTACAATCAAAACTTTTCTACGATTGAGCCTCCCAAGAAATGTATCCTTTGATAGTTCTTGGAAAAGTTCGTCACGTACATATTTTAACCCATGCTTTTCGTACTTTTCTGTAAAATTTTTCAAGAAGCAGCAACTATCAAATTGAGAGCGGAGCTTGGCAAACACAACCTGAGCCATTGTTGTCTTGCCTATCCCGCCCATCCCCCAAATCCCAATTGTCGAGGATTCTTCGAGCAATTGCTCAATATGATCCAAATTCTCATCAATTCCAATGATATTTTCTAATACACTTCCTGAGTACCCATGGTTCAGTTTGTTGATGACGTCATTGACAATGTTTTGAATGAGTTCTGCTTCGTCCCTGATATAAGAAAAAGAATTGTAGAAGAAAATATTAATGTGTCACGTGAAAATTAATTAAGAAATAATATATTAAATAAAGTGACAACTAATTGATGATGTTTGTTTTTTGCATCACAAGATTATTATTTTTTTAAAAAAATGACAATTTTCTTCATAGTTTTATCAAATTTGTGTGGATATTTTTCCTCCATTTTCAAAATTATTAAGAAGGATTAATTCAAACATAAGAAATGTATACATAATTTACTCTACTATATGCGTTATTCGTCGTGACAATTAATTCAAAGAAAGGTCATGTTGAAGAGTTAAAAAATCAACTTTCATCTGATAGGGGAAAAAAGAGGGAAAAAATCAACTTTCAGAGCTAAAGTATCCAATTTTGAGATGACACCATTTAAATGATGTCTTTTTCATGTAAACCCAACAATGAAAAGAAATTAAGTTTATAAGTCATGTATACACGAGTATTGCAGAACATGATCCAACATCATTATTCACTGCTAGTTAATTAGTTGTTGGATAAGCTAATATGGAAAGAAAAATGCAATTTATATGAATATGAAGACCAATCACAGTAATGAGTAAAAGTATGAAACCCTGATTTAGATACTTGAAGTTAGAGAATTAAGAGTGACCTATAGTTGCGGGAGTCCCATCCTGCTAGGTTTGCAATCTCAAAAAGTGCTTGTCTCCACTCTTTCACCTTCTCTGGGTTTTTCTCCAAATGTTCTGCAAATGCTTTCTCATAAGCTCCCCTTTGATTGCGTGCATGAGATGGGTCGATTTCATAGAAGATAGGAACAACAATTTGTGCCTGATGTTGTTTGCAGCAAAGGATATGAAGGAGCTCATTCAAACACCATTTTGAAGTGGCATATTTTTGAGAGAAGACCACCACAGAGATGGATGAATCCTGAATTGCTTCAATGAGTGACTGGGAGATGTCATCGCCTTTTGGGAGCTTATAATCAATGTATGTCTCAATATCTCTGAGGCACAAGGCAGTATGGAGATGGCTGGTGAAGGATCTGCGAGTGTCCTCTCCTCTGAAACTCAGAAACACATCATATTTCTTGGAAGAAGAAGATGATGATGGGGAAGCTATGGCAAACATGGTATTCTGATTACTCTCTCGGATCTCTCTCTGCCTTCTGTGCTGAGAAATGGCAAAAGTGAGCTGATGATGGAGTATGTATGGCAACGGATAGACTTTATTCACTCTTTCAGGTCTTCAGAGCCAAAAGACACGCCAACTGATACTTTTACCCTTTTCACATTGGAACTAATAACAAATTTCATTCCCATCCTAACCCCACCACCTTTCTTTTGGCGACAAAAAGTAGGGTCCATTGCGTGTGAATTACATTGTCCGTCCCTCATACGATGAATTACAGGGAAAAGTCGTACCCTCAATGGTAGGGTCCATTGTATGTGAATGACTGTAAGTTGTGTAACTTTTTCGCATGTGAATGGTTTGTACGTAAAATATGATGTTGGTGCTTCAAGCCAATTGCTCTGTTGCTTTTCGGCAGCTTCCCCCTACTTAACGTAGCTAGGCGGAACGTTCCAATCAAAATTCAATTGCTCTCAACTTTCACATATTAGTGTTAGGGACATTGTTGTTACTGACCTCTATTTTTCAATATAAAAAGTACTTACTAATTTAAATATATTAAAAAATAAATAAATTATTTAATTATAATATATTTTATAGAGTATTAGATTATATATATCAATTTATAATATAAATAATTTAGTTTGAAAAAAATGATAAATATGATAAACATATTAAGATCTTATATATAATATTAAATTTGACTCCCAACCAGTTCTTATATCAAAAATTGAATAGAGTAATTGTTAGTAATGATAGGGTCAATTCTGTTTGAAATTGTGTTAAATGATGGGTTCTAATACTTGTTAGTGATGATAGGGTCAATTAAAATGGTGGGTTCTAGCTAGTACATTTCGATGCTGCTTGTACTGTAACAAAATAAATTGGAATATGTAAGAGGCCCAGTTGCCAAATTAAAATGCACAAGATTTGGGAACCAATGCACAGAGCAATAATGGAAAAGCCCCACCAACACCAACTGATCATCTACAAGAATAATTACCACAGTTACTATAATTAATTTGAAGGTTGAAAGCGTAAAAATATCCATAAACTTTTATCTAAAGTGCATCCATCACCATAACCTTTGTGGAGGTGCAAAAGTATAATAGTATAATAAAATTTAATTTTTTAAAAAAATAGAATAATTAATTTATGGGTATTTTGGTAAAGTCATCCTTTAAATTCATTTTTTTTTTGGGCCAAAAATCCTTTAAATTCATTGAGTAAGCATTTTCTGTTAATGTGACCTATGATGTTAACATTTAGTAACTAAAAATATACTTTGCGTATTTAAGAGACTAAATTAAAACTTAATGTAAATTTAAAAGACTAAACATATATATTAACCATAAAATTATTGGCATTATCATAGTATAATAAAATTTAATAGAGTTTATCTGTTAAAACTGGAAGAATTAATTTATTTGTATGGTCATTGGTACTTTTACAAACGTGAAAAAACATAATGGTATTTGGCACACTTTGATTAAAAGTTTATAAGTATTTTTGTATCTTTGCCTCTCTTTTTTTGAATTAGCAGCATTTTGATACTTTCATAGCATTAGCGTGGGTGAAATCATTTTGCTCTGGTCTTGCAAGTTTTTATGTATTTTTGCACTTATGAAAAGATTATAATGGTGAGTATACTTTGAGTAAAATTTTTTAGGTATCTTGGTATGTTCACCATTTTAAGTATAATATAATATTATGACTTTTGTGAATTTTTGAAACACACTCTTTTATTTTTGACCTTTTCTCAATCTGTTTTCAGATTTTACATAGAGTGACTTCTATTTGTTTGTTTTTGCTCATTACTTATCTTGACTTTATGTTCCTGTTTGTTGGTTCAGTTTAACTTGACATGGGTTTGCGTGCTGAACGGATTGATAAATATAACAAACTAATGATTCACTAGATCGGTCTAAATCTAATTTGAATTGGAAGAATATTTTAATTTTAAATATGAAAATTCAGTTTACATTATCTTTGAAATTTATAATTAAAGGAGGAGATTTCTATTAATGTGGTAGATTTTATATAAATTATTAAAGTAGTATTTAGGTAAACCCACAAATATTTTTTAGAAATAATTAATAAAATTACCTAACTCCTATATTGAAAATTGGAGGGAGTATATGTTATTTTTTGGGGCACACTAATTATGAAGTCAAGTCTTTGGGAGAAGTACATTTTCATGAAAGCTTCTTCGGGTAAAAAAAAAAAAAAAACAACAAAGAAAGAAAGAAAGAAAGCTTCTACGTAACTAAGGGGGAAAACCATAATGGAGGTACCTGTATTTTTTTTAAATTTTCAATTTAATACCTATATGTTTTTTGTTCTTAACTAAATCTTTAATTTTACTCAATTAACATTATTAATCTTTATATAGAGACTAAAAATGCCAATAGAACAAAGTTATAAGAGCTAATATTGCTAAAAAAATAAAATTAAATGTTTAATTAAGAGAAAAAAACACATAGGTACCAAATTAAAAATTGAGAGAAAGTAGAGGTACCCATGATATGGTTTTCCCTAACTAAGGTCCAACAAAACGCGTGGCCTACGCTGAAAAGTTGATGCTGATGCGCTCATAGCAATTGCTTTGCTATTTAACTGCAACTTCCTCTTAGTGCGCCTTGGCTTTGTTACTTCCCTGCAACTTTCACCAGCTAATGGTAGGGTCAGAGTTTTTGTTGTTAGAGATAATGGCAGGGTCAATTGTGTTTGAAAGCGTATTAAACACGTCCTCTGTTCCTTTTTATATACTAAGTCCTAATTATAAGACCCGGTTGACTTACTTGGAGAGATTAAGGAAGTAAATTAAGTTAGTTATTTGTAATAAATAAGTGTTGTCATTCCCAAAATATCCTTGCTAATTAAGTGTATTGGCTAGAACTATCATTATTAGAAGGACTATCTTGGAAAAAATGCATAAATATGAGAGACAAAATGGATTAGGGTCTTATAATTAGGACCAAACAAAAGTCAAACAGGGTCTTATATTAAGGACCGGAGGTAGTATAACATTGGAGCTCATCACATAAATCAAAATGTTAGTTAAAATTAGTTAAAAATAATAAATATGTAGAAATTAGAAGTTTTTTCACTAAAATGCCGAGAGAAAGTATACAAGAAAAAATAAGAAAATTATTATAATAAAGAGAATTATGAAAAAGAGAGAATGTGTGATGAAAAGATAATGATTTGGGGAATGAGATCATAAATATATTGAGTAATAAAAGTAAGTAGTTAATGAGGGCAAAATAGGAAATCCACTACAAAAATTTAAGGCAACTTGCAAAGGTTGCTTATATTTAGACATAAGAGGGAATTGGATTTTCTCCACTACCTTCCCATCCTCTTTCCCTCCACCACCCTCATTTTCTCTTCACAACCATTGGATCAAAACTTCAATGGTCCAGATTTAATATTTTATAACATTTTATAAAAATAAATATTATGATAAAAAATAGATAAATAAATTTAAACTGTTAAAATCTAATATGAACAGTTCATAACTACAGACTGTTATTATAGAACAAATTTTTTTTATTACAATTGTAAACTGTTCAGACCAGATTTTAACAGTTTAAATTTATTTATTTTTTTAATAACATTATTTTTACAAGATGTTAAATCTGGACCATTAGAATTTTGATCCAATGGTTGTGAAGAGAAAAGAATGCTAGTGGAGGGGAAGAGGATGGGAAGGTAGTGGAGAGAATCCAAGTCCACATAAGAGGCAGATGGTAGTTATTACTTATAAAATGAGACAGAGAGAGTAATGTTATAATTAATTTCTGTTACTTTTTGAACCAAAACAATGTCTGTTATTTAGAACTCAAGTCTTTGGCAGAATTACATGGTTGGTTTCCATATTAAAATGGTGCATGTCCTCATTGGAAAAGTTGTGAAGAGAGGGAAGAATAAATGACCCGTCACGTACTATTGGACCAAGTAACTGGATTAATGATATACACGATACAATAATGTACAAACCTGTGGGAAGTTGAAAACTCCTTGAAACTACTTTGGGTTTACTTTAAATGTAAAATTAAAGTGTGTTTTTAATTGCCAGCAATCCTAAAAATAAGACACAGTTTTGTTGGGGAAAAAAAACAACTCATAATTCACATGTATTAAATATACATAAATACTATGCATTGCAAGTTTGAAAACTCCATTTGTTTTTTGGTCCTTGAAGTAATATCTGATGCTGCATATACTGTAACGAATTGGAATACGTAAGAGACCATTTTGCCAAACTGAAATGCATAAAGTTTGAGAACCGAGACACCGACCAATAATGCAAGAGCCCGAGCCTGAAGAAGTAGAAGCCATTGCTGTTTGTTTCAAAGTGCAGAAATAACAGTTTACGCACAATGGTGATGACGGAAATAGTCTTTGTGGAATCGCCCGTTTAGTATTCCAGCTAAATTCAGTTCTGTGAAAAAGCGGAGTATCCAATGTACACAATTATTAAAGTGGCAGAATATCGTTAGATAAAAACCAAACCATAATTTTAAAAGTATTTTTATAATTTACGAAATAAATATATAAAAGAGTTTGTGTCGTTTTACAAAAAAATATTTTTTAAAAACACTTTTAAGAGTTGCCAAACACCTCCTAATACACTGAACAAAGCAACTTTAATCCGGTGGACATTTCGAATCAAAATTTAATGGCACTGTTCTTTCCCTCACTGCTAACTCATGGTGGGGTCACGTCGTTAATGTTAGCGACGCTACTTCTACTTATGGTAGGTACAAACAATGTAGTAATCAGTAATGGACCCAATTTGGTGCTCCATAACCACGCGAGGTTTGTACGGTCTAAATATAATTTCATTAGCCAGTATTTAGAATGTTTAACTCAACTTTTAAATAAAAAACTGTTTGTTTATAAAACCGAAAATTAAAAAAAATATGTTTATTTTTAGTTCTGTATAAATTAAAATATTTTTAAAAAAATAAAAGTTAAAAGAAATGGATCTGGCAGTC